GGAATTAGAAATTATCCTGAGGGCCGAAATTAAATCCACCAAGGGCCTGATTTGGCCCCCGGGCCTTGAGTTTGAAACATTTAGCGTATTAACATATTTTAGAGCGTTGCTTTTATTGCTTTTAAATTGTCTATTGTTTTTACTTATACTTGTTTTATGGTGTGTGAGCTGAGCTGTGTTACTTTTTGTATGTTTTGTTTATTTGCCTGTACAGCACTTTGGTCTGGAGGTTTAAAGTGCTATATATAATTGTATTGTATGAAGGCTGCCTGCTTATTTAAGTCCACATGGAAATGATAATGTGTGATTTTCCCTAAGTGGGATTTATTTATTCATTGATACAATTATGTGTCCTGATATTGATTCTGAAACGATACCATGGAAAAAAACTCAAATATGAGGAAAAAATAAGTGAATAATAGATGAAAAACATGGGAAAAGTAGACATTATTAAGACAATTTCATGGATTTGTGAAAAGCCATAAAATAAATGCAGTGCCTTATTGTAGCTTATCGTGCTAATATAAGATAAGATACCACTTATTCATACTTTTTCTAATACATATTAGGCAAAGTGGATAGGCAGAGTTGACTGAAGTGGATCAAGAGTAAAAGCAGATGCAATGCAGGTATATAGCTGCAAAGTAGGGGTAAGAAGCACCAGTATCTCTATCCATCTTCCGATGGCAAACAGTGGCTATCCCACATACAAAGATTGTTCTTAAAGAAGTGCAGCGATTATATATTGCACTTCTAAAAAAGGTATGGTCAAATTTAAAGCAAAAAAAAGGCAATATTCCCAGAGCTTTAGTTCCCATTCCTAATATGGGTCAAGCTCCAAAAAACACACCTGACAACCCTTGTGACATCACTTTGTTATCCTCACAGGTATATCTCTTTTACAGCTACAGAAGGGATATTTTCATCCGAGTAGTATTTCCATCGATAGTAACCGATCTCCAATTGAAACATTTGAATCCACTTCCCATTGACTTCAGGAGCAGTTGTGAGTTTTGCGTGTTTACACTCACTGAGCTGTCTCTGTTACTCAGCCTAGAGAAACAGCAGACACTATAACTGAAAGTGAGTGCTTGCGTCTCCGTCTCCCACCGAGAGCAGATAATCATAAAAACCGTCTTAATTTAATTAGACTTCACCTCAGTTGGCTCAGTTTTCACAGCTGTCTCGTCTCCATGCAGAGGTGAAATGTGGTTTCCTTTTAAGATGCTGTATGTGATAGGTAATGAACATTAGCTGATGAGCTGTCACTGGAGCAATCTTGATTGCCACCCTCTCACCTGTGCACACATAAACACTCAGAACTACAGCTCCTTGTCATCTGTTGGCAACATACATGAGTCGGTCAAGTGGAGCTGTAAAAAGAGCATATGCGCTCCCAGTATTTCTGACTGTCCCAGAACTGTAAGAGTGCAAAATGACACAGCTAGAGAAGGTGGGCTATGAGAGATGGACAGTGACAAGGTCAGAGAGCAAATCAAAGAAAGAGAGTCTAAGATGGGGCTTTGCTTCACAGAATGAGGTAACCACAAGTCGCTGCACTTTGTCCTAATATTGATGGACAGATTGTACAAGCTGACACCCTTTACCTGTGCGAAATGTGTCGTCCGCAGAGTGAATTACTGGCTGCCTGTGGGCTAAATGTCAAAGGCAGGACTGTCACAACAGGAAGGAAGTCGGACGACTGAGAGGGTGAAGGGGTTGCGGGAGGGTGAGGGTGAGGAATTCATTCAGTGAGACGAAGTGCTGCCAGAAAGGTCTAGCGACAGGGAAACGATCAAAATAAGCACAGGAGGAGGGCGGAGAGAGTGACAGAGAAAAGGAAAAGAAGTCCAGGGATTTGGATGTCTAATTACCACTGAACTTTAGTAACCATGGGAACCTGACCCAATGAGATGGGCAAGCTGTCTTCCCCCCTGACGTGACACATGCACACACATTTCATAATACTTAGAATAATACTAGAAATAATCATTCAAGGTTCAACACTGGCTGAACAACATTTGCTTAGTTAAATGCAAAAAAAACAGTATGCATGATGTTCAGTAAACGACCAGTCAAAATTGAAGGATCCAATGTGTTTTTGAACAGAGCAGAAATAGAACAAGTCCCCCACTTTAAGTATTTTGGAGTCATAATGGACTCAAACTTGACTTTTAAGAAACATATTAAGAAAGTATCCAATACACTTCAATTCAACTTGCAACATTTTAAACAAATTAGACCTTTCTTAACTGTCAATGCTGCAAAGTCATATCTCCACTGTATGATTCTATCCCACATTGAATACTGTTTGACAAACTGGTCGTTTGCTTGAGCCACACACCTGAAACCCAGAGAACAGCTGCACAAGAGAGCTATCAAGGTGTTTGACGGAAAGCCACATTCATACCACCTCTGTACCATCCTTGATAAACACAATTTCTTGAGTTTTGAAAATGTTAAGTCTTTTTAAAAGTATGTGTTTTTTAAATAAATGTTTACAAAATATAGCGCAATATGACAGAATATACCGCTTTAGGGTCAAATGTGTCGACCAGTAGAGGATTGCTAATACAATTTCAACAGCTGTAGCTACTCTTGTGGGATCTTGTGATGTTGCAAATCCAGTTGGTAAAGTATTTTGGCAAACATGGAGGAGAAAAGTGAAGTTGTAAATATAGTAGGAGAAAGAGGAATATTTCAAATTGTGCATTCTCAACAGTGTAAGCTGTAATCATAACCACCAAGCAGACTCAGATCCCAAAAGGGATGCTGGATAAAGGAGTTGTTCTTGCCCTTAGAGGAGGATCTACATAAAAACATGATTATATCAGTCCTTGCAACATGACTTCTGGTCAGGGTTGTAACTAAAAGGGAAAAGCACCTTCAGCCACCTCTGGATGTTTCAGACAGCAAGGACAGAAGGCATCACAGAGCTCTAACTATTTTATGTTAAATAAATATTAAGAACTCATTAATCACACTCATGGTTAGAGAGGGAAGGATTTTTGCCTTTGATAAGAACACCCACGCCAGAATGGAGAAGCTAATTGGCTTCAGGTCTTCTGTGAAATTTGAAATAAGTAGATACCATCACTGACTGATGAAGAGAAGCGTCCAATTGTATCCTGGTTGTGAAAGGGAGACAAGTGGCATGATGTGTGATGGTTTTCAGCATGGATTGCTATCTGAAGACACTCATGAAAGGAATGATTATATGTCTCAGAAGCTAGTACAAAGAAAACAACAATGATGGAGGAATTCCCAACAGAGAGTGAGATGAAGGTGACATTAACTAGGTCATTTCCTTCGTGGCATTGCTGCGATGAGTGTCTCATCTGCCAGGGCAACTTCAAACTGCTGCATTATGAGTCGTTTTTCAAGGGCCAACCCGCCAATCCTCCCGCCCCCAAAGGAGACCACTTATGCCATTATTTGCACAGAGCTTTGTCCCAGTGCACAGAGAGTTTATAGATAACACATATTTAGCCATTATTCTATGCTGATTTATAGGAGTGTGTGTGTGTGTCATGGTTTGAAGGTGAACCACATTACATTGCATCACGTTGGCCTTCCAAATTAATGAACACCTCAAATGACGCTTGAGGGATTTTGCTTTGAGATAAAACAAACATGATGCAAACACACGCAGATATATCATTTTAAATAGTGTGAACATGAGTAAAATGTTGTCTACAACTTAGACGTACTAGAAAACCATAAAAAGTTCCAGTGTTGAAATAAATGTGTTTTGATCGGGAATTATTACCCATGGCGTGATGTGCCCTGACCCTAGAAGTAAAAATGTAAAATCAGAAAGGGAGTAGGGTTGATCTGATTTCATGTTTTTATCCCAGATACTTGGCCCAGCCAATTCTGCAACACTGTGATCTTAATAATTAAATACATCTGCCCAGAGTGCAGAAGGTCAATACACCCTGAAGTAATACGTAATGTTTTCTGTAAAAAAATCTTTAGTGTGGGTGCTTGATATCATTGACAAAATTGAAATGTGTGTAGGCGTATCCCTCCACACAGTTAATAGTTTTGTGATAGGGGTTGTGACACTGTCTATGTGGATGCAAGTCATTTGACATTCATTTTAATTCTAAGTATTAACAAGACAGAGTCATTTAGCAGCTCTGTGAGCTTGTTTGGGATGGGTTAAGTATCGTACAAATTTACATTTTCATTATCAATTTCTTTACAGATCTACAACTCCAAATGGTTCTGCTGTTTATGTAAGGAATTATTTATGAGGGTAATAGTGCGGAGAGCTTTATGGAAATAATCATAGCCCACCACCTCTGATCTTCGATATCCAGAAAAGAGTACACTTCTTTACTCAGAAATCAATACTTCCTAACTGAAATTATAATGTGTTTATCATTAATTCACCTGGATGTTTAAGGACTTTTTTATTCATAGTCCTTTCTATACAGACTGTGTCTTTAAATGCCAGTTATTTCCTGATCAGGATGTCGTCTAAAAGCAGTAACACTGATTAACACTGTATTTCATTGTGCTCTTTATTTATTCTCTTTAGACATCCACTGCCACTGTGAACATTGTCGTCACTGATGTCAACGATAATGATCCGGAGTTTGACCCGACCATAACCACTAATTTTACTGTTCAAGAAGAGGAGGCCAATTTGTTTGTCGGACAAGTCAGGGTATGTGTGATGTCTTGTTTTTTATAACGTTAATGAGCTGCTTCGCTAACCTAGGTCCACTTATCCCTGTTTGGTAGCCATCCATAGAACGTTAACATAGTTATTTCCACTGTTTCATCTCTACATGTCATTTGTGATAATTTGTAACAACTGGGTCTCAGTTCACATATTTCCTGACATTTTACAACATGGTCAGATGTGAGCTGCATCCCTGTTGACCTGCTTGTTTCAGCACCACTGAGCAGCCAGACTTTTCTAATTACGGTTGTAGATTAATTAGCCTGATGTTTGCCAGTGGATTAATTATGTAATAATAACAGGAGACATTATCTGCATATACAGTACAGTTCATGCTTACAAAGTATCATAAAGGCAAATAGATCCTGTACCCAAATCCCCACATTTCCTCGCATATTACTGTTTTGAAACCTAGTTTTGTAAAGCAATACAGTTCAGAGTAACATTTCAAAACCGTGGACCAGTATCTATCAGAGGGATTTATATGGCTTGGTTGAGGGAAGTAACAAAATCAGTCTGTGTCTAAAAAGAGTTTGAAGCTTTTTGCAGAAATTGCTTTTTGATCCAGGTCCACAAAATCAGAAAATAAAATGGAATAATGATGGTCCCAGTGAGATGAATATATTTAGTTTGATAATGACTTGCCCATGCTAATGAGCATGAGCAGTACATTGAGTATATCAAGTAAGTCAGTTGCACTGTTTTACATATCAATGAGTCTCAGACAAGATAATGGCTGCCTACGTACGAGTTAGGATTTAATTCTAACATCTGTGTCTGTATTTCTATGTAGGCGGTGATATTTCCAAAATATCTCCATGTTCAGTATATCTGGCTTCAAATGTTTACCAATCAAAAAGTTTAAATGTTTTTGTCATCACTTCAGAAAATCATATTTTGCTTCTGTGCTATGACAATTCCTTATCCTTATAATTGCTAATGCAAACAAAACATTTGCCATAATGTAAACAGACACTGTCATAATAGTCTAATTTTACAGGATATATTCAACATGAGGCATCCCATTACATTTTTCAGTAGGTAATCAAATAGACTACCAGAAAATGTTTTAAGTTTATGAACTGTGAAATTAGACAAAAGGACATGTGAATGAAGCTTGGTGTTTGAATGGGGTTAAGCTTTCCTCACAAACGCAGCCAGCAGCTGGATTAGGACTTACCCACCGTCTCCGTCTCTCTGTCCTGCCTCGGAAGGTTTTCTCAGCTGGTTCCTTGCCAACTTGAACCAAGGATGTGATTTTCTGACTGAAAGAAAAGTACATTAAAGTACTTAGTTCAACACAATTGTGCTCTCCATGCACATCTAGCGGCTACAGCTTAGCCTGTTGTTGCTGATCGAGGATTTTTTTTTTTATGCAACATTTTTTCATAAAATCTCAGGTAATTAGAACAATGTAATTTTTATGATCCGACATTTGAGAAGAACATGTGACAATACCAATAGTTGGATATGTTGGACAATGTTCCTAAAGGTTGACTTTGCAAACCTCCTATATGAAAAGTTGTAGCTACGCAGATGACACCTGATTCAAAAGACAGTACACACATAGATGTATTAGGTCATTAAACAGATGTTTCAGTTACAGAGGGGAAAATCAAAGATATTATTTCTATATAAATAATAAAATATAGAATATATTCTTATATAAATAAAGACCCAACACTATGTTAGAAATGTTTGTTTAAGAAATCAATCATTGCAGTAACCCTTAGTCCTTTTGCTGACAACATGCTAGAACAAGAGGTTACACTTCCTGTTTCATGCCTTCATCTCATTCTGAATGAGCTGCTGCTGTCGTCTGTTATCTGCTCTTTCAACCATTCAACTGCTGCTGAAGTTCTTACAAGAGTCAGGAGAACTGAGCACATTATACTTACTCTTAAATCTTTATTCTGGCTTCCTAGGTCGCCATAAAAGATTATAAAGCTGCTTTTATTTTACAAACCACTTTATGACTTGTGTCATAAATACGTTTTTGATATGCTTAAAGAATATAAATCCGGTATTTCCTCTCTACCTTTATCTTACAGTGTCAGAAATGTATGTGGTGCAGCAATTTTTAGCTTCTATCTTGCAAAACTACTGATATTTTTATATACCAAACTTTAGCCACTTTCAAATCTATCTAAGAACTTTCTGTCCTCTTTCCCCTGATTAACGTATTACCACATTGAAACTATTCTATAACTACACAATTCCTTTTTTCATAACACATTTATATTCCATTTATTCAGTTTTAAGTTGTTGTTCTTTTATCTTGTCCAATTTCATTGACTTTGTTATTTTAATGAATTCGATGCCTTTTGTGAAGGCCAAGTTTTGAGAGGCGATAGAAAAGGGTACTTTAATAATAAATAATACACATTAAACTTTATATTTCATAACAAGTGAACATGTATAATACACTCACACCAAACAAGCAACAATGCAATTTAATTGACAACCTACTATTGTGTTTCTTGTGTCTTGTATGAGATCTGCTCATAACACATTGTTTGAGACCATGCCCTTCAGAGGGAGGCTTCTAAATAGGATAACACAATAGTTGGTGTTGTTCTCTAAGATTGTATTAGATGCAGGCAAGCTGTCTGGAGACAACTCACAATATAACTCTGGGCTCTAAATGTATTAAATAAACCCATTTGTAGCATTTATATTCAAATTGCCAATAACTGTTTGCAATGTAAAATAAAATGCCCCTTTGTGACTTGTTTGCATTTTTCTTATCTCTCAGTTTAGCCCCATTAAGGCATCCTAGAGTTTCTCAGGCCATTAATGATACAACACAGCAGTGTAGTGGGAAAAACTAAAGGTCTTCTTTTATTAAACAGACTCTGACGTCTCGGGTTGCAACAAATAAGGAGGAGCAATTATTGAATATTAGATATGTCGAGTTCATGGGGGGGGGGAACACAACTCCATGTGCCAATGGATTAAATGGGAAAAACAAAAAGCTTCATCGCTAAATGTATACAACTTAATTGTTCATCTCTCATCCCCCTAGTCCAGGCCCTTATCTTTTCCACGGGTCGGAATAATGTCTTTTTATATGGAGATTTGTTTAGGAGCTTTTTCTTCACAGTATTATTAAACAGATGTTGTCAGATCAGTAGCTTACAGTTGTTTTTAGATGACAAACTAAGTAAGGGGTCAAGTGACAAATGCAGGAAGGGATAAGAGACTGACTGATTGAAATATGATGGTATTGGGTGATTGAATTATTTCCCCCTTAAATGTGACTGTTTCTTTTATAATCAGTTTTTTCTTTTTTTCTTTAGCGCCTTGAAATTCCCTGCTGACAGAGAGTCATAATGCAGTCAACGTTAAGCCTTCGGGCAAATGCATAACGCTATAAAGTAGCTTAATGCTAGCCCTAAAGCATCTTGGATCATCGTTAGAGTAATTGGAACTTGTTCCCACCTTTTCTTATTTTACCAACACAGACGATTTACTAGGATATTGCAATTGACATATTTTCTGTAGTGATTTGTTCTGTGGATGACAAATCCTGCAAAATACAAGCCCACATTGTTTGCTCACAGCAGGGAGCCATAATCTAAGCATGCAGATGACCAGGGGACAAACCAATTAGTATTCTAGTCAGACACATAATGGAAGCATGTTGTTGAGTTGTTGCTGATTGGAGAGGCTGTTGAACGTAACGTAATTTATTTTTCACAAAGCATATTTCTTAGTTAAGTGAGTTTGATGCTTTCATCCTGCTTCTAATTGAATTCATTTGCAGGATTATATATGATGCATTTCCCTTTGTTAGCACAACATTGCAGGTTTTTGTTGAGTGCTAATTTAGTCTTTGATAATTCCCAGGGTTCAGCCAAACATAATTCGCCTACATTCACAGAGGACACTTAAACATTTGTTTTAGGTTTTAGCATCAATCATTCTAAACGTTGAAAATGCTTGTTTTGTAAATGCAACAATTTTTAAAAAAATACACTGGACCCACGCAGGCAGCACACAAAGGAGACAAGTGTTCAGGTATATATTAGAGGACTGCGTGGGCTTGGTTTTTAAAGACTGTAGCCACCTGCTCAAGCTGCTTTTTGTGCTGTTACCACCTGACACGCAGGATATTCCTCCGCTCCCACAATCGATTTACCGAGCCTGCCCACCAGCTCACAACCTGAAGTCTGTGCCAGTTCCCAGCTCCAAGTTATTGAAAAACTTGATGAAAGACTGCCACACGCTGTTACAGAGTGATGAAGAACATGCTATTTTTTGGTGCCAAAGAATACAAAAATGGCTTTGTAATTTAGTGCTAATTAATTTGGTGAGCAATTAAACCAACAGCTCTACAGTCTTAAACAGGGCCTTATAAAAAGAAAGGCCTGTCTTTGTTAGTGTCAATGAACATCTGCTGCATGTTGCCTGGGACTTGCCCTGCACAGACTTCATTAATACATACAGCACTGTGCCTATTGGAGGCTATGTAAATATGCAGTTTGATTTTATTGACCGTGAATTAATTGGAGAACACCCCTTACAAGGCAGGGAGCACTGAAAGTGTCTTGTTTTTGTTATGTAATCTCCACAGAGACGTAGTGATCCATATGCACATGTTGACATGATATGCTTTAGTCTGCTTTGCAAAGGCATATTGCTGAGGTCCAATTTTAGCCTTGGCTTTCAATATTTGTCAGGCACATCATGTAAAACAAATTGGGGATGGCTTTCTGCAGCCATGTGTGAATGTGTATCCTTCTCCCTCTATCAATGTTTCTCTTTGTTATCTCTCTTTATGCTGCCTTGTCCTCACTTGCACTGAGGTTGATCAAATATTGCCAAAGAAACAGATGAAATGTGGCTTAATTTCCCTTAGTACTTTTTTTATTTTCCCCTTCCTCTCTCCGTCTCTCTCAGTTACAACAAAGAATTACTACCACACAGGAGACCATTGGATTATGAAAATACACGCACACACACACATGTGTAAACACAGGCATGATAACGAGCCACACAGGGATTACATTTTGTTCAGCAGATAATTTTTTTTTTTGCCAAGCAGGATTGTTACAAAATACCTCAATTTGGCTCTGTAAAGATAAGGTCTCTGAACTTCTCTTTCTTTCAATTGGTACTGTACTCTTATTTTTTAGAATAGAATTGTTAGAAGAATCACAAATGAGCTTTAAAAGGATGGTTTAGCTTTCAAGAATTTCCTTTTGATACAAGGCAGCGTTTGCATGAAAATGGGATGTGGCCTTTTGAACTTACAAATGACTTCTAATGAGTCTGTGACAAAGACTCTAATCTCAACATGAATAACAGGAACTAGCACTCAAACGTATAACAGTTGTTTCCACTCGGTTGCAGCAGTCTGGCTTACATGGCTTTCTGCTTGAAGCCCCTTTAAATGTGTGAGGCGTTAACATAAAACAAGGCTCTAATGGATCATATAATGGATCACATTAAGCTCACAACAGCTGTTTGCTTAAAGGGAAATACAGCTGCATTTCAGTTGGAAATGTGTTATTACTTTGCATGTGTATTGGTGAATATTTATCACTCTCTGCTATTATTAATGGATGTAAATGGATTATCTATTATTACCACAGTTTCTCAGGTTGGTTTATTGATGACTTTGTTATTGATGTTTCATTTAGCAAGCCCACTACTAAAGATTTGTGGCAGCATACGCAGTCTCTCTGTCCACTGTAAGATAATGGCCATTGCAGCAGTAGCCAACTATTATGCTTCCATTTGGTCATCCAGAACATATTTCACGCCATGTCTCTGTTAAGTTTACATTGGCAAAGAACACTTCTCAAACGAGTGCAGATAGGACGGTGGAGTGAATTACAGGCATTGTAGTTCACTAACTTGCTTTGAGAGCTTAGCTGTAATAATTGGTGATTAGTTGAGAACCACATCAGCAAAGAACGCCATTGTGAGATATTAATTATTATGAATAGTCATTATTTGTTCCTGTATTCCTACACTGACTTAAAGGTAGGGCTTCTCGATTATGGCAAAAATCATAATCTCGATTATTTCGGTCAATAATTGATATCACGATTATTAAAAACGATTATCCATTTACTTTGAAAACATCAATTTATTGGAGAAAAAAAATGTGAAGAGTATGTTTTTAACAGTTGATTACCCTGAACTTTAAGTATAATTCAACTAAAAGACCAATAAAAAAAGTAATAATAATAATACAAAAATAATCGTTTTATTTAGATTACTTTGTTTTCGTAATCGTTGCAAGCCATAATCGTAATTGCAATTTAAAATACGATTAATTGAGCAGCCAAGGTCACCTATTATGTAAAATCCACTTGTCCATGTATTTTATACATAAACATGTGTTAAGAGATTCTGAAAGTTTCAGGAAAAAAAATTTGCTCACTTTTTGTCCTGATCCATTTATATAAAAACCTGTCTGAAAATGAGGTGATCAGAGTATGGCCACTTTATGATGTCATAACGATTTTTTGGCTTGTGTAACCATTAGCCAATAACCAACCAAGGTAACACCTGCCCACCTTACACCTGCATCTCCTCCTAGAGCACCATTGTGTTCTTTTTAACCAAATATCTCGCAGAGGGGCGTGGGGACTCCCACGACTCCACTTCGAGCGATAGATTTACTAACAAAGAATTAGTAAAAAAACACTTATATACTAATAAAGGACTGGCTTATCTAAAGCCAGTTGAGTAGCACTTGAAATGTTTTGGCTCTATGAAACCTGATGTACTTATATGATTATGTTTTCTTCAAGTTTGTATCTTCCTGGTCAAATGCACTTATTGTAAGTCGCTTTGGATAAAAGTGTCAGCTAAATGCAATGTAATGTAATGGGAGTGACTCCTTATTTTCATCTAAAGTAAGAGACAGAGAATCAGCATTTTTTAAACAGGGCTGAAACAGAGGGGTTTATGGGATGCTACAATGCATGATCTGTTTGGTATTTGGAGCAAAACACTTCAGAGACATGTTTTGAATATATCTGAGACCTATAATATATTGATGAACAACAGTATAACAGGGGACCTTTAACAAACCTGGTGTATTTACATGATATACCTTTTATCAGATAGCTTTCTGATTGTGTTCCTCAGGCCACAGATCCAGACGCAGGGCTTAATGGCCAGGTGCGCTACCGGATTGTGAATCATCCTGATTTGTTCACAATCAGTGCTAATGGCAGCATCTACACAAGAGTGCCTCTCGACCGGGAGCGCAGGAGCCAATTTGACCTGGTGGTAGAAGCTTCAGATGGGGCCGTAGATCCACGGCGGACCACCTTGACCCTCTCAATCACTGTCATGGATATCGATGACAACAGCCCAGTCTTCTCCCAACAAACTTATGTGGTGAACGTACCCGAGAACAGCCCTTTAGGGACTGTGATCCTAAAGCTAAGCGTAAGTAGGCCTACTTTTGAATGTGTTCAAGTTATTGTTGTCTTTCCGTCCTTAAATGTCTTCCTTTATATGATGTGGCATGAGAGCTTTAACTACAGTTGTTGTAACAAGCTTTTAGCATCTTGTAAATTCAAATGAAGGCAATTTAGTTTTTAAATGTCAGATGCTTCCAGACGGAAAGATTTACACTGACAGAAACATACACAGCCTCATATACACAGCAGAGAGAAAACAATGATTGTCCCCCTTTCATGACAGTTCTTTGGGCATTTTAAGACTCAAACAGAATGAGACATGAAGCTAGCTTTCACTCAAGTCGTAACCAGCCTTTTGTAGAGGATAATTTGTCCATCTGTCCTGGCAAACATGACTATAACGTTCCACAACTTTAAAAACACTTTGGAAATGAAGTTTGAAGACACTATGTGCATGCAGATCAAACACAGAGTGGTGGAAGGCAAGTAATTGCTGGTATATTGAAAGTGACATTTTCCCAGAGAGAGATCAAGTAAGGGGGGAGGGTGAGAAGCAGAGGGGTGAGAGTTGAGTGTGAAGGGGGGTAAATGACAGTAGCACTGTGACACCATTAATCTCCTTGACAACATCATCTCAACTCTTTAACAGACACAGGGGGCAAAACAACTTAAGAGCATGAGAAGAAATTGAGGAGTCGATGAGTTTGTTAGCTTGAAAAACGACTGCTTTTACTTTAATGTATATCCTTTTTCTTTTGTGTGTGGACCAATAAATATTGTGTGTATCTCTGTGTGGAATTTGCATCCTCACGACAACATAGCAACTACATGTTCCACCATCTATAACCTGCATCTATTAATCTTCCATTGCTGCAGCCTTTGTGAATTATGTCTACTTTGAGAGTTGAGATTTGATGCGTTGAGGACCAACTTAAGTTCCCCTTAGTGGTTTAATTTAATCGGAACCTATAAATGCTTGATGTACAGTAAGTAACCCCTGCAGCATAAAAATGCAGAATTAAAATATAAACATTAATATTCATTGTCCACAGCCACAGTGCTTATATATGTGTAAGAACATATATTCGGCTCTTCCTCTCTCTTTCCATCTGCTCACATGTCTTCTGTTTTATTTAATGTGTATTAAATGTTTTCCGCACTTGTACTTCTCAAAGGCGGTGGACTCGGACCTCTTCTCCAATGTCACGTATCGGATCAAGACTGAATCTGCCAGGCAGCTGTTTTCTCTAAACCCAGTCACGGGGGAGTTAGCTGTGCTGCAGACACTGGACTTTGAGGACCTGGCAGCTATGGGCATGGGGGCCTCGCACACCTTCCAGGTGGAAGCTGTCGACCAAGAAGGGCTCATGCCTCCTGGGCAGGCCACAGTCACGGTCCGCATCACGGTAAGAGCCCTTGGATGGTCCGTCCAGCAGAACCTCTCTCTGATCTATTCTCCTACCATTTTTCCTCTCTGTCCCTCAGGAAACAGCTCTGGCACTGAATATGTGGTGACTCATCAGCAGAGTTCATCAGGACAAAGAGAACTTGATGGATAGCTGTTTTTGCCTTGAACACAGTGCTTATTTCAGATCTCAATGAGCCATTAGCTTTGTGACAGCAATTATGTTTTTCAGGAGCTTGTATTCTCTTTACAACCTTTCAAGAGATTAACACAGCTGAATCCCAACGAGAGGATTAGACGCCTTGTGTTGTGGTACTATTATGTGTGCGCGTTTGTGTGTGTTAACGGGCCCTTGTTTTCAGTCTGTGAGCTATTCTGCGCTTCTAAATGTTTGCATACACATTAATCTCTGCTCCAGAAATTCACTCAAGCCCTAGTGGACTCAACTTCTGCATAATAAAGCTCTCTTTATTACCCTGAGTGGAAAAGAGCATTTGAGCTTTTTTCAAGCAGGCTCGCCACATGGCCTGCCAACCCTGGAGAGTGAGTTTGTCCTCTGGTAAGGACAAGCTTTGTTGCAGTGTTCGTGCTCTCACCCAAGACCTGTTGATAGGATAAGGCATTGCACAGCCGCTGATATCAATCCAATGTCTGCTATTTTAAATTGCAGACATGAATTACAATGAGCGTAATGGATTCACGCAGGCTTCTCGGGGACCGGGAGTTGGAGCTGATTCCACTGATTCCATTTCCTTCCTCATACAACACCTCTAGAGGGTTATTTGAAGTCGTTTGTGTTTGATTTCACCTTGTGTTATCTTGTTGTCGTCCCTTTTGTCGGATGCCTTACAATGATGGACTGAGTTTCCTGCGAGTCTTTTTTTTTTCCTGAATGACCCTTTGGGAAACTTTTCTTCTATTTTTGTACTGTGGAAGTGTAAGACAGGCACCTTTTATTTGTAGGTATAGGTGTGTGTCTGTTTTTGTGGAAAGATGCTGTATGTGGCACAGGTATATGCTTCAAGCAAACCCAAGTGTGTGCATGTGTCCTGTTAACAAGTGGAGCACGAGGATCGGGCTTTGTTGTTCAAAGTAGGTGCCGAATCATAGATTTTCTGCTGGGAAACGCTGAACCTGTGTTCAGATCAAAGTGAGGCTGCCCTCCAACACTGAGTTTAGAGAACACATACTGTTGCCCATGGCTCAGTCAAAACTATGAAACATTAACAGAAAAGTCAAGAAAAGGGAGGATCAGACTCCCGATGTTATACTACAGAGATAACCTATTCCTGAGAGATAGGTGAATGGCTTCCTGAGTTTTTATTCTCACAAAGAAAGGGGTTGCTCCGTTAACACGAATGCATTTCCCTGCAGGCCAATAAAATGGTAGAGCTCTGGTGTCCATTATTTACTGGGAGAGGTCATTAAAAGCAGTGGTGGTGTGTAGTTCCCATATGTGCTCTGTGTAGCAGCATATTGCTGAATCACAAATATATCACACTTATTACTGAATTACAACAAAACAGTTTCATTGCCTAAAGGGGCAAAAAAATATGGAGTAAGAGATCAATATGTCTTCAATTAAACATCAGACTGTAAATTCAATAGATCAGAAAACCTTGATAATGGTTGTCTTCTCATCAAGCCGTAAATGCACCATAGGGGCCTTAAGATTTAGGCTTATTTTCTTTCTGTTCTTTAAAAACCTACAATACATATATACTATATGTTGTTGATTACCATTCGGATCCTTAACACAATAACTAGTTTTGTCACGTATCAGTATAGATATACCAAACACAAAAAAACATAAATTAATTATGGATTACTCAATTTCACAGCGGCAGTAAGAGTATGTTTTCACAATTTAATTAGATGTCATTATTTATAACCAATACATTAATATTAGGGGGGGGGGAATACATTTAATGGTTCAATGTTCATATTGTAGCTTTTACTTTTGATCTGCCGGCTACACTTTTCAGATTTTAAGGGCTAATTGTATATCTTCAATTTTGAATATGGATGTATTATTTGTTACCTGTAATTATTCCAGTTAACAGTGTATTTATATGTTTATATGTCATTACATTCAGCTCTGATACACAGTACAGACCTTGGGGCATGCAGACAGCATCGCGAAAGTAGCCGTAGACTACGGTGATAAATGTATTTGACCCTTTTATTGCCAAATGTGGTCTGTCACGGAAAGCATATCCGTCTCCCTGTTCTCTATAACCTGTTAATCTGCAGTCTGTGGCTGAACAATCTTTTCTCTGCTGACTTAATAATGTCATATAACTTCATGAAACCATGGTAACAAATGTCCCGGAAACGTACCTGATACACTAACATTCATTTAATCTCTTCTTTTTTTTTTTTAGGACATGAATGACTTCTCCCCCATCTTTACCCAAGACCTGTATACAGGCATGGTGGCACCCAATGCAGAGAAAGGAACGGTCATCACAACTGTTTTTGCTGAGGACCGAGACCCACCAGTGAGTATAAAACACAACATTTGTCACACTTCACATTTATATTATAAACATGAAAGATACACAACAAACGGATCAGCAAAAGCAAGTCTTAGCAGATGGGGGTGTTTCCATTTCAAAGCACACCGAGCATGTTGACTCAAACTGTGTGCTTAATAAGGGGAACGGAGATAAAAGCCTTCTTTTGTGCATTTTACCTACTCACTACATGTTGTGCACTCAGAACATCAGCCAATGTCAGCCCTAGCATTCACACAATGCATTTTAAAGATGTGTTCAACACTCCGATGCTCTCATTAGAGCTTTTGTAAAGGGGTCTTGTTCAGTGCCATCGCTTGTATGAGTCATCCATCACTTGCCTCAGACAGCATCATGTTTCCTCAGACTGCTTCCCCTCATCTGAGCAGCTTCTCCTGGGACTGGAGCTATGAAGATTTATTTCCCTTTTTTATGGAATCTGCAAACCAAGGAATGAAATGACACAAATGCTTAGAAGATTAATCTTGTGACCTTTCCAGTTTATTACTTCAGGTCTGTCCAGATGTATGTTTAGGATAGCACATGTCCTGAGAGGGTTTCATGTTATTCACCTGAGCTGAACTTCTTTTATTGGCAGTTCCACCCACCTTAATATTGTATTGCTCTTGGTGAGTCAGCGTACTTCTTGCTCCCATCTCCTCTTTGTTTTTGTTTGCACTTGAGATTTCACCAAAACTTTTGTCAATGTTCACTGAGAGAAAAGGGGGAATAAGAAACACCCAGTGACTTGCCTGCCTTGTCCTAATAGCCTCCAGCTCTGAATGTGTTTTTGAGTGGAGCCCTGCATGGCTGGATTTGATGCTTGTTATTAGTGGCCCTCATCCTGATAGGATCTCACCAGGGCCGGGTGAGCTTGTGTACTCTCTGCTGCACGTAAACGCTGAGGGATGTTGAGGCCTGTCAGTCCCAGCTGTGGGTGGTAAAACATCTCTAGAGTGCCACAATGACTGCTGTACATCTCACTTCTCCTCTCAGAGGGTGATTCTCCCTCCTCCTGCTTCCCCTCCCCACCCCTTCTCCCCCTCACTGCCTTTGCAACCATGAAATCATTCTTTTTAATGTGAACTTTTCTCCTTATAGGCTACAGGATTTTTTTTCCCTGAGCAGTTCTCATACAGCAATCTTGCTTAGTAAAAAAATATTCAACAGTGCTAAGACCCAAATGATATGTAAGACATCATTGTGTTACCATGAGCATAGCGGTAGCCAGAGAGACATGGGAATGACTCTGGGAAGTGGTTTGACAGACAGAGGGATTAGATTTTCTAACAGGAGCGGACTAACCCAGTCTCTTATTGACCTGGATTTGGCAGCTCAAAGCATTTTATTGACAGGACACCTGTCATAGATTCCTCTGGTTGAAAAGGGCTTAGTCTAATGCTTGCTAAATATACACACGATGTTGTACACACACAAACACGCACAAACACATACACAATATTACACTGGCTCCTAAAAACCTGCGCGCTCAAAGAAAGAAAGCGAGAAGGGGAAACACTCTGGTTTATAGTCTTGATGCGACAAACACGGAAAATGCATAATCTGTCTGTTATAATGGTGTACATTACCTCTTCTATTTGTTCCTAAATGTAAAAAAGAGGGCATAATATCTACCCACCCACATCTTGGGAGTAGCGATACTAGCCTCCAAATTAATATCACCCTGAATAAGAGGGTTGATCACCATGGAGACAAATGTTCCAGGAAGAAGCTTTTTATACTGTTATTTGTTACTAAAACGTTTTTTTTTAGCAGCTTAGTCCAGAAAACTTCCTCAGCCTCTGGCGCATACAGTTTTCCGCTCAAGGAGGCTGAAACATGGCATTGAGGTCAAGTGGTTGTGAGGTTGCATGAAAGCGCAGATTGCCTGAGCATATGGGGTCACAGATATTCCACACATGTGCATGTTTTCTGTGGCATCGTTTATCACAGCACAGAACTGTGTGAAGATGAGATTCCCCCTATTTCTTCACTGGTCTCTCAGTAACTTGCAAATCAAATAAATCAGTCGTTTTCAAACAATCCTAATAAAAACAAAGTTCTTTGAACGTTTTGTCTCTGCTGCTTCACTCTCTCAGCTCAAGCCTTGCTTTTGCAATGTGTGTCTCTGAAGCGTCACTTTGTGCTTCTGAGCTTGTTAATTCATGAACTGGCTGTTTTATACTAAAGATAATTGGATTTGTGTTTTAAAAAATATAAGAAAAGCAATTCATGAATAAAAAAGCATTATTGTTGCAATAAGCAAGATTTATTTGATGCAAGTTCTGTATGTCTATATTCTTCGTCACATATCTGCAATGTTAATGACACAGCCGGGACAATTACTCTGTCACATAAAAGATGAATAATCTGTGAGTCGAAAAGGTCTGCAGAGGAGGGCAACATCAGATGTTACTGGAAAAGTGTATCTCAGCACTTTACTCCTTCCTGATCCTGGAAAAAAACGTTCCCTTTAGATTTGTACAGTATGCACAGGTTAATATGAGAAACCCAATTTGAAAGGTATTGTGTTATTAGTTAGGGTAGTTATTGTCTTAATACAGATTATTTCATGGTTTGTTTTTATTTGTTCCTGACCTTTTAAAGCTAATTTAGACATATGGGTTTCAAAAGGCAAACATGCAATACTAGTAGGATGAAAAATAAGTTTACTAAAATGTTCATAATATGGTTAGCACTGAGCAAAAATATTTATAACGTTATGTGCTGCCATCATTGTGAAGCTCTTCCTTGTATGAGATTCTTTTGTTGGAGATTTCTTTTCATGAATGTTCTTGTCCTGCCATCTTTTCCATTTCATGTTAGAAAACAAGTTGAAGAGCTTTTAGAGATGAGGACCTTTTTCTGAGAATCCCTTTAGTGAATTCACTTAGATAGTTTTTCAACCTCTTAGAGACACATTTGTGTGAGTAAGCCTCCCCAGGGATCCACTGCCACTACAGGATTTACCTCTCTCTCTAGCCCCAGGTTTTTACCCTCGTCCCTTGGGAGGGAAATCAGTTCAGGCAAAGGCAGCAGAGCTTTTAAAAAGCTTATTAAGAAGCAGACTGGATTTGGGGTCCAAAGGGAGAAAACTGGGAGAAAATGAGATATAGAGATGATTAGTAATCAGGGACCATGATAGATGTTAATCAAAGGGTCACATTAAAGTCCAGACTCTTGCTAATGAATGTAAAAGTGTGTTACTCTGGAGACTAAAAGGGTGGGTTTAATGGAGAAGTTTTTTATTCAAAATGAAAGTGAAAAAGTCTGAATCAATGAATGGTTTACATTACTGTCTGATGAGGAGAGAGGGAAGTGAGAAATTAGGGTGATTTTTCAGGTTACAGTGAAGAGCAACCTTTTCTCATTAAACTACTTCAGCTCTGTTGCATGATGAGGACACAAAATGTAACAGCAATGAAGTTTTATGTCTAAGCAATATCGCTTCGCCCTTGTCAAATTTGTAAAACCGGATAACTCTGACATACCCTCTCATTTTCACCGTTGGATTGTTTTTTTGTGAAAAGTGAAAGGTGGTGTCTGGATGTTTGGATTGATGTGGTTCATGTTCTTCTTTCTCCTTCCTCCAGGGCACTCCGGCAAGTTTTGTCCGCTACAGAGTGGACCTGGACATGTCACCGTACAGCGGGAGCATCTTTGATGTGGAAGAGGAAACTGGAAGGATCATCACTAAGGTCAACCTCAATGAGGAGCCCAGTGTCACCTTTAAGGTCAGTGGCAGTAATTATGGTGTGAATAGTGATGATTAACTCCAAGCTATTACTATTATACTGTTAATTAGTCAAGACACCTAGTCCACTGCTTGTCATTAATGGCTATACTGTCAGGTTTGGCAGTAATGTATCTTCTTTTATTAATTAATTCAACTTTTCTCAAGGATTCCTTGAATGATGTATGTCATTGTATTCAATGATGTTGAGAGGACAATTAAAACATCATGATGGTGGCTCTGACTTGTATAATGTATTATTTGATCAAAAAATATCTTTAAGATACCATTCCACTGTATGTCAGGAATAAGATAATCACAGTGTTCTTTTAAACAGCATAGACACTGGCTGCTTCTCATATTCAGCTCTCTGCCTTGCATGTTGTACTATTTTTATATATACAGTCTATGGGTTTTACTGTGCTATAAGCTGCAGTGACAACCAGCTGTTTTTTTTATTATCAAACAACAGTTTTAGGGTATAATTACTGTCCCAGTGGTATTGCCTTTCTTGTGTAACCAGTAATATTGAGTGTTCCTATCGATCGATCGAAGTCCCTCCACATGTTGTTGTTTTTTTGCTGATTCAAGAAGAAAGGAACATGTCTAGTTGGGAGCAGGTTACATGGGGATATAAGGTCCAAATGTGCCGCTTACCCTCCCATGTTGTCTTGTTACCACTGTACTTTCTGGTTTTATTTCTTAGTTTCTTTACAAATGTGTCTAGCGTCCTCCTGCCTATCTCCCCTTCCTGCCGACCCTCTCCCCCCTGCTTCCCCCGAGGCTCAAGTCTCCACAGTCTATGAATGCAGATCAATACATTCATACTTGCTCTCTGGGAGATTTGCAGGCTGCTTGCCAGATCCTATTTTGCCAGTCTTTCTTTATTAGGATGCAGAACATGTGTATGAAAAATGCCTGGCAACCTCAGAAAGGGAATTACTTGTGTAGTGAGAGGTAGTGTGGTGGAAAATAATAATAATGTTTTGCTTGCATTTGCATGCGAGGGTTGCTTATGTCTGCTCTCCTGCCCACTGCAGTTGTTTGTGATAGCCTTTGATGATGGAGAGCCGGTGAAGACTAACAGCACAATGGTGGAGATCACTGTTCTTCAGCCTTCCCGCATCCCGATCTTCACCCAGGAAGAGTACAGGTACGTCTGCTGGACAAACTGTTGATGCAGCTGCCTCTGCCTGAACATTCACACATCAAAGAGCAGCTTAGGCTGAAGCGCCAGACAGGGAGGGACAGTGATAAAGGCTGGAGAGAGTAGACAAAGTATCTCAAAAACACCTTCTCACACATTTACATCTTCCATTCAGCTTCAGATATACATTCATAAATATTTCATCTCTAGGTAAATCATATATTCTCCCTTGAACTGCGGGGAATGGCTGTGAAGTCACTATTCTTCCTACATTTATCATTTTTGTAATAACGATAGCTATCTGCCCATTACTGTGCTCAGCCAGTGGCACCAGTTGTGATTCTGCCTCCGTCTTTATCGTGCCGTCTTTTCCGCGCATGACTGATTAATGAGTTTTGAGTATAAATATGCATTAGCGCTTCAGGTTAGATGCTGCAGTTCATCACTGCTGTAAACCGCATTTGTTTCTCTCTGAGGGTTGAGCCGAGCTTCCCTCTGAGTTTATTAAGAGTCGCTTTTGACAAGATTAAGTGTTTAGACTGTTAAACTGGCTGAGAGAGATGCAGGATGAGGGAACATAATCTAAAGTGCTCTTACATGACTTAATGCTACACATACGATACACGGCTGTACGGGGCTTTGTTTGTACTGTGACTCAGGAGGCGTCCAAGAAGTTGTCTATAATTAAAAACAAACATGGATTATTAACATTCCAGCTGTAGCTCCTCCTCATGATGTGATGAAATAATGAAAATGCTTGTGAGTACTAGCATTAACAGTTGCTGTCCATTTGGCTCTTCTGCACTTTGAGGAGATTCTAGACTGACCCTGAAGCTTTTTATGGCCTGGTAGCAAAGTTGCCTGGCACAATGCAGTCTCCGGGAGTTAGAGAAATGCTTGTTTTAAGTGGATTGATTTACTAACTGATTTACTTAAGAGTTGGCAGACTTTCTTCTTTAACATAATGTGATATGCCTTAATGCATAACACAGTAATGTAAATCCTGCCCCAACTTTAACCCTGTCAGCACATCAGTTGAGGTGTATGTCTTTCTTTGTTTACATCTGACTTGCTTTTGACAATGAGTGCCCGCTTGACAGTGTGATGTGTTGGTGGTACTCGTGTATTTCTTAAACGGATGAGTTTGGGTGCACTGCATACATCTTTTGTAATCCAGCACTTTGTGTGTGCGCTCACGTTCTCCCGTTGCTCAGCTTTATTCGGTGATTGATACACAGGCGCAGCAGCATAGCCCTTTGAAAGGCCATTGATTACATTTTGAATGAGTGCTGTGTCTGACACACACAGAAGGTCAGGACCATAGGTACCAACCTCTGTAGGCGTCATATTGACAGTGCTAACCATACACAGTGCCAGGCCTGCTATAAATTATGAGCTGTGAAAGCATTAGCCAGGTGCTCGAGCCTCTCCTGCTGGTTGAGGCTCTCTCCAGCGGAGAGCGTCCAATCTGCTCATCATTCCTCGCCTCTCTAGCTCTCCTATATCGTCTTCTCCCTGAGGATCCTCCTGAACACAAATCACTCTCTAAACGTCCACAGAAGATCTCATCTGTCTCTGTAAAGGTAGTTAGTTATGGCAGCAATCAGGTGAGCTATCCCTTCAGCTTCAGAGCCCACAATTAAAACAACTCTGCAGGGCTTTCCCTGACTTAATGATTTCTACTCCTGCTTTATAGCGGGGCCCTTCCATCTGTCAGAGGGAGATAGGCGGCTCCTAGTCATTGTTGGCTAAAGTAAATGGTTCATACCCTAGATGCTACTGTAGCAGCAGTTGCCCATGGCTTTTTAAAGGTTTGAGCAAAACACCTTATGCTGTTTCTTTCTAAAGAGACATGTGTTTGTTCAGAACCTTATATTTGTTTTAAACCTGCATCAGGATAAATAGTTGTTAGCAAATAGTTGCTTGTATTGCTGAGCCTACAGAGAATCGCCAACCAACTAATGCGCTTTACACGCATTAAGCTTTTTAGTTTAGGGCCAAAAACAACAGTGAATATTGAGTTTGTATCTGTCGATGTGAAAGTAGTTAGCCCACTGGAAGGGCAGTGTTGCTCTGTGTCTGCTGGATCTGTATGAGTGCTATAACAGCTTGTTAAGCCAACAGTATGCACGGCTCCCTGCAGGGGTTACTTTGAGATTATTTTATAAGAATAATAATATTCTTGCTCAAATCAAATGTTCTCCTACAATTCATAGTGAAAATAAACTTGGATTTAAATATTTATTGCATTCGTTTTTGCTTGGATCTATACCCAAGATTATGACTGTGACTTATATAATAAGTGTTTTTAATTTATACATCTTTTTAACTTTTTACCTTCAGTTCTATTGCAATCCAGAAGCATTTCCTGCCCAAACTTCAGCTTCCAAAATACACCTTACTAAAGGTATTTTCTGGTACCTGTCAGGGCTTTGATAGTGTCATCTTGATAAATTCATCTACTGCAAGTGTGTGTTTTAATGGTTGTCAAAGCTTTTTTTTTTTACCCTGTTACTTTTATATTTCTCTCAAACGTAGTAGATAGTCACTGCACAGTCTATCAAGGCAGACATTAACAGTGGATCTACCGGTTAATTGTTTTACAGCAGGATTGTCGTCATGTAAGAATGAAGTTGCATAGATGCAATGATTTTAATTGAAATACAACTTATCATGCAGCCCTTCCAACTACTAACCAAAACATCCCTTGTGCAGTTTAAACTCATTTTTGAATCATTAAAATGCTATATCAATTGCTTTTTTTTATTTCAAATAGAATATGTGAATGAAGTATGGCTCATGTGCTTGAACCGGCTTGAACACAGATATTACATTTTAGATGTTTTGGTGGGGGAAGAGACCTTTTGAGAGCCCTATCATTCAACCACTGTGAATGCTCATTTACATTGAACTCACAGACTCAATCCTTTGGGGAAGTCTTTAGCACTGGGCACTTGGGAAGGGAATGAATATGTATTTCCACTGTGTGTGTGGCTAGAGACAAGGAGGGATAAGCTGCTATCTGACATGGTCCCACTCTGAATTTGCCTCCTGTACTGAGGCTACTTCTCTGGCCCAAGTGTTGCAAACCTGTGGTCTGAGCAGTTTTCCGTGCTGCTTATCTCCCCCCGCAGCACTTCCCCTTCTAAATCTACTCTAAATCACATGAGACTTTTGCCTCACTGCTCCTGAGTATGTCATTTTGCTCTCCTTCTCCTTCAGCCCCCCCCCCATCCAAAAGCCCCAACATCCCCTGAGTTTTTTTCCTCGGCTTATCTCTCTCTCTCTGTCAGTTCTCACTTTGTCTTCCCTTTGCTCCTCTCCTCACTGTAGCTTTCTGTGTGCTTTATTCTGTGTGCCTGTAGATGTGTGCATCTCTCTATAAATCCGTGACTACATTATAAGTTGAGTGCTTGGTGTTATTAAATGGTAATTTGTTACATATTACTCATTAACCTCTTTGGCCTAAACAGTTATTTGTGTTGAGTCTAATTGTCATTTAAACACATGCCACTAGAAGTATATCACTATATATACATTTTTTTGTTACATCTGTGCTTTTCAATAGCATGATTAAAGTATAGTTGATTAAAGAGGAAGTTGTTTGTATGTTACCGCTATATCATATTTCAAAAGTTGGTATTCAAAGTGATTGAAGAGGATATCATTTGGGAATTAAATGTTAAGCCATTATTTAGTTCACTGTAATCACAGACAGCAGATGTTGTGCCATACCTGTCACATTAATATGCAGTCTGGCAACCTTGAATGAAAAGAGCACCAAGTTGTACTGTTAGCATAGTCAACGGTGTCAACATTGAGTATTATTACAATAAACAAACAGATTGTCACTACTTATACTTGCCACCCCACTAATGACACAATTAGTGACAGTATGCTGAAATCACTGTGAAGGCATTTTATTTGCTCCGCCACGCAAACATCGAAATAAATAATAATAATAATCTTAAAAGGTGCCATTTATATAGATAAGAGAAATAATTTGTCTCAGCCTTGAGCTGTAGCTTTCCCATTTCTCCTTTACACATTCTTACTCTGGCCATGAATGTGCATGTCGGTGGTAATAGCTCAAAGTTTGGGGTTTTATATGTCTCTTTCCTGCAGTTTCTTGATATTTACAGTCCATGGAGACTGCCTGTGTACATTTTATGTGGATGCCTGACCACAGGGTAACCATTGATTTAATGTTCTCAGCAGTTGCACTCACAAATGGCTCCACAGTACCTGAAGTAGACCTAACTTGTAGCTTGAAATACAAGCCAAAATTGACTCGACGACCATTATAGAAAAAGCAATAAATGACTTGTCAAATTGAAGGAAAAAACACGACTGCTCATTTTATAGGAATTATATTGAAGATGTGAACTCTGTGTGCCCTCCATCTGTTCTTCAAGACATCTACAGAAAAATAGCATTTATTATTTCTAGAGAAAACAAATCCATCTATACCTCATTTCCAATTCAGACAAGGCTGTAATTCTTGAGTAATTAGGCAGATGACGTGCTTTCATAGCATACAGCTCTTTTCATGGCAGCTTTCCTTCAACTGTTGTCTTGCCAGACATGTACACAAGGGATAGAGGTGCTAACAACCTACTCATCCGTGCTCATTGCAAGGCATTTAAAGGGTTAGCTGAAAACCCTATAGTGTGCTTTCCCACAGGCTGTCGTCATGCCTCACTGAAAACATACATTACAAAAAACAACTTCAGTCCTCTCTATTTCTTTCTGTTTATCCATCCATCTCTCATGTTATCCCCCCTCCTCGGAATCACAGCTAGAAGGTGTGGAGTGCTTTCACTCTTCTGAAGGGCATGATTGATTTTCAGCCGCAGGTTTGAATCTGTTGACTTGAGTCTTGAACCTCTAAGCACCAGGAGTGCACTGACCTTTCACTTGTCTCTGCTAAGTAGGCAGGCATCACTTGGCTGTCTTACAGGCGCCAAGTCACATTCATTGCACAAATCCCACATATCAGCCAAAGG